AAACATGAATACAGAACTCTTCGGTCTTCCATTATGGATCAATTGCTAGGTACGGGTCATGCTATGGACCTTCAAGTTTATTCCCTAGTGTTCCCTTGGGCACGAAAAACTTGTACCTTGAGCGACCTGGAGGCAGCCTTTATATACTGGTCATAACCCAAGCTATCTTAACAGTTGGGGCATATGGTTAACCTACCTTACTTAAGTAACAACGAGCTCCTGATACAAACATTTACCTCCCATATTTTCGCTTTAACGTTTTTAACTCAATTATTAATTGCACATTGATGTAAGGTGCTTACTTTACTGATAAGCCCTCTGGACCAGTTTTTATGCCCCTATTAAGCCTTCCTGTAGTACATTTACTATTGTTTTCATACGTTAGTCAGGTAATGCAGCAAGAGGAAGCAACTTTGTGCTCTCTCCAAATTAATTCATCCCTTACTTTCTGATGTTTTTGCAATCTTTAAATAATCACAACGAGAGACATCTTCTAACGTTTAAAAACTCATTATTTACGTAAACGGTTTTACGAAATATGTTATTTAGTATTCTACAGAGTTTCTAGGGAAACTACGGGAAACCACGATTGCCGACCATGACATTATTGTTTCCTTTGATGTCTTTTTCCTGTTTACATCCATATCGCACGATTGAGGAATACAATTCGCAGAGGAAGAACTAAGGGCCTACACAAGGAATGCTCCTGCAAAAGTTTCACTTGAACTCGTAGACATTTGTCTAGAAACTAATTTTTAATTAACCATCAGTACTTTTAACAGTTTAATAGAGCTCCAATGGGGTCATCCATATCCGGATTCCTTGGCAAAGTAACAGGGCAGAAGGTTAAATCGAATAACCCTTAGTTATGGATTTCATGTGGAGACGACGCATTTGCTGTCGTTCAGAAGGACCAATTCGAGCCGCTCCACAACACTATCAACCACCTCCCAATTCGGGCATTCAATTCACGCTCGGAAAGATATTTAATAATAAACTCCCATTTCTGGATGTTCTCGACAAACTTTGTACACCGATGCATAAACAACAACGATCCAAAAAAGGTACCAGATGGTTCCACTCTGGTAAAAAAAACATAATTAATTCTTTCTTATATAGCGAATGTGTCCGAACTTGTTTAAAGGTACTTGCGGAACCATCAAGTAAAACTGGTGCACAAACTAGTGGTTATGTTATACATCCGCCTTGTTTACCCAAATATCCCATCCCACCTCAGGCGGCCGACAGCTAGGCAGTTGCCTGTCGCTGGCGGTATATAATATAGTGAGGTCGACCTTCAGTGCGTTTCTTTTCTCATTATAATGAATCGATGCGCTGAAATATATCGCGGTGCGTTAGAAACCGTGGTTTTAACGGTTGCCAGCTGGCGGGTTAACTCAGTCACGACAGTCGGTCCGGTGTGTCTTGTTTTGTGGTGTTGTTGTCTGTGGGCTAAGGGTGACATTCAATGGCTCTCTCTTAATGTGGCCTTAATGGTGTTCACTATCGAGAGCATATCTGGGAAGCATTTTGTTTGGTACGCGTTCTGAGTGTTTGTCGCGCCAGCCGTCTGCGCCTTCCCGCATTTCTCGCCTTCTTGACTATATCTCGGCACCGGTTTCCTGTGCGAAAGTGGTTGGCGAATGAAGTAGAGACGGCGCGTCTGCCTTTACTATAATCAGCCACATTCGCCGGCTGTTTTAACTTGTTGAAGTTTGTAGTTAATATAGTCACAATCGACGGTCCAACTGTCGGTGCACCCTAAATATAGGGTTGGATACCACGGTAAGAAAGAAGTCATCTACAGGATCCCTTGAGATTTTTTTTCAAACCTTATATTGCGGCCGACCAGGGATATGCGTCTTCACCCGTTAACACGAGCATCAATTGGCAGTGAAGAGACGTGACCATTTTTCGGAAGTGATTATGCATTGTCTTGATACTGTACGCACCTTTTCATGGGGAAAAGCACGCGTCGTCGGAGTTTGTCCATCAAAAAAAGGCTGAAAATTTATTGAAGCCATGCACTCCGATGATATATGCATCAAACGATATATCGAGATGAATAGTGTGTACAAACATCTTAAAGAAAGACGGGAGACGCGACAGCTGATCACTATTGACTAGCT